TGGCTAAACTAAAGGATGTCAAAATTTTTTGCACTGTTACTCATTATGTCTTACATAATTATTTTAATAAATTCAACAAAATTATTTTTAAATGTATATCTAATTAAATTTTTAGATATTACAACACAGCAGTCCTTTCTATGTGCACAGAAATATTTTACTAAAGTATCTAAAGACTCAGCTAAAAATACAGATCTGAAAATAATTTTGTTGGATCATTTAAATAATTACGTAAAAATTTCAAACATGATAAACCATATTTCAAAAAATTTTCTTTCCATTCATCATTTGTTTCTTTGATTATATTCTCCGTTATTACAAACCGTACTAATTATAAATAGACTAGATCTCTGACGACTCGATATTCACGCGATTAGCGCATCATCGTATTTTTAACGCCCAAGGTTAATTGTGATCAGCGTTAATTTGCCGCATACATAACGCGCTTCGTGCGTAATTGGTAGACGCATAAATTGTCCCGCGATAAAGATTTTCGCGAGGAACTCGAGATAAGATCGCCGCATGAGACGGTGAGGGCATTAGCACCTCGTTGAGGGAGTTGGATCTCTACCTCCTATTTTTAAGGGCCGATACTAATTGCGGACGGCGTTAATTTACAGCGTAGGTGTCACGCTTCGTGAGATGTATATTCCAATAAATCGTTCTACAATGCGGAGCGAAGTAATGCCACGCCGGCGTCTAGTGCAGTTCGATTTTTTATTCGTCGCAGTATAACCCGTGATATTAATTGTGAGCCTTGTTGATTTATATAAGCATGTGTAAGTCCCGCTGCGGGATGAAATACGTTGCAGATAAGTATATGCAAGATTACAGTGCAGGATGAGGACGTAGAGACAAAGACCGCGGAGCGGGCAAAGCGTTTACTTTCGTTCTCAATAATGTGGTAATCATATTTCCATTTCGCAGGTGCATCGAAAGGTTAGAAAACGATTAATCACACTTATACGTTTATAATGTATCGTACTTAAGAATATGTAACATGTATGTTACACGCGGACCGTATTATGCAAAAATGAGTTAAGCAACAATTTGGGATAATATAGGTTTAAAATTGTCTAGAGTTTGTCTAGATATTCTCTCTAAAAATCTTTGAAGTAGAATCTAATTCTAAAAAGTGACAATTGAGTGAGAATTCACTCTTTAGAATTAGATTTCGCTCCAAAAGTTTTAGAGATTACCAATTATGTATATAAAATTACAGTTTTTTTATATTTTTTGAATTTATTTCATTTTTGCGTAATACATGAATTAATCAATTATTCATAAAGGACTGTTTTGCTGAAGTAAAAATGCTGAATCTAAAAATTTAGCTGGATGCAGATCTAAAAATAATTTTGTTGGACCATCAAAATAATTATATACGATGCTTAAACTAATTTTTAAAATATTAAAACTTTTTGCAGCATCGCTCATCATGCTTGAGATTACTACGTAATTATTTAATGGTTCAATAAAATTATTTTCATATTTGTATCTCAACTAAATTTTTAGATTTTAGCAAAATTATCTATTCTTTCTATGTACAATAGAATTTAAATTGGAATACCCCCCTATGACAGATTTGCGAAATTAGAAAAGATAATATTGATCCCAAGATTGTTAAAGAATCTGATTTTGGCATATCATCTACGCATTGCAGAACATCGTAAATTTCACATTCATGTTAGTAAAACAAAAAAAATCGTATTCACACGAAAGATGTATTAGACGAGAGAAATGCTTTCGCTTTTGTATCTATGCGATGTACCAGCGAATAAGCTCTAAAATCCAACGCGAAACGTTTCGCGCGTGCGTATAGGAACGTGCGTTTAAAGACTCGAACAAATTGCGATCTGACCGCGTGTCCGCCTTCTTATACTAATATGCGAACACGTTCGCCGTCGTAGTCTCGCGCGGAGAGCTCTCCTCACTACGTGAGTCTTACATGCAACTTACATACACACTTGCACAACTGTGTCGAGTTCTGTACGATTAAGTGTAACTACGTGCTCGTAGTTATACGCTCGTAGGCTACCGCATGCGTCCTAGGCTCCGCACGTTACGTATACAGAGTGTCCCTGAGCCGATCGCCTTTCCTTCTAGCAATAGACGCTGTAACATCTAAATGATGGACTTACGCCTGAGAAATACATTTCAATTTTTCGACACGTTTAATAGGTGAAAAAAGATTCGTGTAGATTAAATCTTGAAAAATATTGTGATATCCCTCCGTACGGCAGATAAATAAGATAGGCGATCGAAGCCTGTTGATAAAACTGGCTTATCGAAAACTATCTTGTATGTCTTAGTCCTATACGTATCAGTGATCCTCAGCCGGGCGTTTCGACCACTGTGTTTTCCGCGATTGTTACAGCCCGCGGTTTCTTGCCAGGGCATATAGATAGTACAAATGATTTTATACGCCTCTACTTAGCCACTATCGTCTCGTCCACTAAAAATCCTATCCGTTCCGAGCCAGGAATGTGTTAATGCAAGGCGAAGATTGAGAAACTCTGGGCTACGCGCGACTAGGGGTCCGCCGGCGGGCCTGATACCGGATTATCCGAGTAGAAAATGTAATGGAACAAGTAAAGTTTGCGTTCACGCATCGTTGGTCCCGTCTCGCGTCTGGCGAGGGAGGCACCATAAGAACCGTCGACACAGTGCAACACCAACGCGATTAGGTAACTGAAACCATATCGACGTATGCACGCGTGCTACTATGTGGGTGTACCACCGGCGTAACCACGTTGTGCGCTCGCCACGCGATGTGGTAGGATAATGCACCGATAACACGGTCGATTCGCTGAACAGTTTCGATCCAGATTCCACGAGCCAGCCTAGTTTCCAGAAGAATCGTGCGAAACGCGATCACATTCCTAGTTTTTCCTTTGCGTATTCGTAACAGTGTTTTCCAGTCTCGTTCATAAAAAGATTACTTTTCTTTATAGATTCACGGAAAAAAAAAATTTCTAGCCACAGCTAATTTTGATTAACTGAAATTGCATTAGCTACAATAGCTATGAAATTTGCTAATACATATAAAAGATTTACTGCTGTTATAGCTAATATAAGGACGTGACAGCAAAATATGCATATACATTACAGTCAATTTATTTAGCAACATGAAGTTAGTTGTCATAGTTCTCGGATATGTCCGTGTAAAAGAAAATTGTCTCTACCACAGCTAAATATGGTTTGCTGAAACTGTACTTGCTACCAAATTGTTTGCTACATAGAAAACGTTTGCTGCAATGATCAATACATCGACATAATAGTAAAATGCTTGTCCGTTACAATGATAATATTTAGGTTTCACAGCTAATGGAAATTAGACCTCGCAGACACGACGTTAGGTGTCCATGTAATACTACTGAATTTAGCTGCCATACCTAATTTTTAGTTGTGGCAACTAATCTTTTTTTCCATGTTTCAGGACAAAATATTAGCCTTTAGATGAAATATAATAATAACCTTCGAACAATCTAATATAATGAAATATCTAATTTGGATTTTATAAAATTTCTCTTGTAAACAATAATATAATAAATTAATCTAGATCGCTATATGAATGAATCAAATAAGTAAGGAATCAATAAGGAGTCAATAGGTTGAGACTAGATTTTGATGCCTAATAATGTTTCTCACAAAAAGATCACACTTTTCCGAAGCGAGATATTAGCCTTTATATGAAGTAATAACCTTCAAATGATCTAATGTGATGAAATATCTAATTTGAATTTTATGGAGTTTCTCCGTAAAGTTTTTAGATAGTTTCCGCACGTTATATTACTTCTAATCTCACAGAAAGGTCACACTTTTTAGGTTTCAAAACAGTATTAGCCTTTGTATGAAGTAATAATCTCTGAATGAGATTCAATGTGATGAAATATCTAATTCGAATTTTATAGAGTTTCTCCGTAAAATCTTTAGATATCTTTCGCGCATGATGTTTCTTCCAATTTTGATACGTATATTGTGAGTGGCATTAAAGTGGCGTGTTGTGATTATATGACTTTGTGCGAGAGACGATCATTAGACATCAAAAGTGGTTTTGAGTGGCGCAGCGCGGCTTTAAAATTATTACGTCGCCTTGCGTGAACGAACACGACAGTTTAACGATCCTCCTAAGGCGCAAACGAAGCAGAAACTTAGTTCCGACGATTGATCGTCGTGATCAACTAGACTGCTGTTGGATAAATTAAGGCATAACAGGTAAACGGCTCGTTAACGATACTCGACGATGAGCATGTTGCGTTATTGTCGGGTCAGTTTACCGCCGAACTGAGAGTCATTCGACACTCGTGTATCGTGGGTCCGCAAGATCGTGTAATGGCGTCATATTTACGCTCTCTTATCTAACTCAATCCGGAAGAAAAGCTGCCAGGAGGTCCGTTCACAATCAATCTTTGTCAAAAGCGTCTTAGTAATATAGGGGTAAAACGCACGCGACTCTATGCGTAAACTACCTGCAGGGAACGATATTTATTGGAAAATGTGGCACGCAAGACGGAAGAATGAATTAATCCGCCAATAAAATGTGATTTTAATGTAGAGTGCAATAAATATAATATTAATTAGACTGTGGGTAATAAGCGGAAAGTGTTTAAGAGCCTTTTACTATAATAAATTGTAATAAGCACGCAAGACGAAGGAACATTATGAATTATCGCTCTAAAAAATATGATCTTGATGCAGAGTGTAATAAATATAATATTAATTAGACTGTGTGTAATAAGTGGAAAATGTTTAGATGCCTTTTACTGTAATAAGTAAGGTATATCTTTATTTACTTATAACCTATCGATACGGAGATTGATTTGCCTCGCGTTTTTATGTATTTATAGTTGATAAAAAGTTGAATCTATTTTTACATTGAAATATTTGGCAACATAATATTCATAGAATGTAGAAAAGGATTCTCCATATACTATCAAGTTTAAAGTATCGGGTTAAGTAAGTCTGATAATTGGTTAACATCTTTTTATTTTACTTTTCAGAAGCTGAAGAAATTCTGGACAGGTCACGGAAAAAGAGCGGCAACTTTATCTGTAAGTCAAACCACATAACTAGTATTTTTTATCCAGTCATCTATGCTTGATTAAACATCATTTTAATCTTTTCTCTTTCTTTTTCTCGTTAGTCTCGATCGTCTCGAAATCGATTAGTTCCTTCTATTTATCTCTTTGAAAGCATAACAATCGTTGCACGTTTGAACTGTTAAGCAAAATACATTTTACGCAAGTTCTATTATTTTTCTTTATAAGAAATACAAAAGAAATTTATAAAAATACTGTAATAATGAATTATAATAATAAAATCTAATTACGTTATTACAATAATTATTACAATAAATATTGTATACATTATTTACAAAAAAAGAAGAGAATTGATTTTATCTAAAATTTTATATTTTCTTAAAAATTATTAGAAAAATTGATATTTGTTATATTTTTATTTTGTTTCAATTATTCATATAAAATTACTAATTTCTCTTAAATTTAGACTATAAAAAAATGTCAGACTATAATTACATTAAAACTTTTAACAGAATATTTGTCTTGAAGTATAGATAATATATAATGTTCATTATTGCTGACGATAAAAACTAGAACACAATACGCTCATTTTATTGTTAGATACTTATTTAATGTTATTAACTACACAGCGATGCATTGTTCGAAAGCATACACGTGTTCCTGTAGAAAAAAAAGGTACATCTACATCCTAGAAACAATAGGTTAAAGTTATTATAGCGTTATGGAAAGCGACCCGTTACTTCCGGAATTAATGGATCGTGAAGAATTTTCGATCGAACGGCGTTTCCCCTTTTTAAACGCAACTACAGAGCGCGGGCGGTTTATAAAGTCATTATCGGAAAAGATATATGTGCAATCATAGATTCTTATTCGTCGTCGATGAATGCAGTAGATCGTGACGCAATGTGAAAGGATAAAGGATACATTGCATACATCAACATTTATCATTTTCAAAAGTTTCTTATCTCTCATATTTTATCACATCAATTAAATGACTAAGCTTGAAAAAAAAATTCTCGCCAAAATTAATCTTCTTCTTCGTTTGTCATAAATGATTCAACATTGAATGATAAATTCTGACAGTACCGTATATTCGAGAATATAATACTTAAAAATAGAAACTTATCATCTCCGCTTCGATCAATTTGTAATGTTATTCGTGTGATCATCATAATCTTCGCCCATGGCCTTCTTTTAAACTCGACAAGGTTACTACCGGTTGTGATCTACCGATAACGCATGAGACGTACTTGGTCCATCGCATATTTATTGAGCTAAAGAAGAAGAAATTATAAAGTAAAAATTTATTATTTATCGGATAACAGGATAACTCTTCACATTCATGCATAAATTTATCCTAATGAATTGTTTAAAGCTCATAGCTGAGGCTTTGAATTTATCCAGATTAGAGATATTATTTTTCTTCGTAAGATTCAATTCTATAAATACTTTTTCGTACATGTACAAAGCATCGTACCTTTTCATCGAGTAGATTGCATTCGAATTATTTGATTCACCGGGTTTCCAGGACTCTTCTTGAGCGCTAAGACGGGCGTGGACTACGAGCGTTGAAAATCGCGGCTGACCCGTGTGCCAGATATTTTTTTTCCTCGCGACGCGCGCTCCTCCGGGGCCAGCCGGTTGGCCGACTGTTCCCGTCGACTGTACCGGCGGCCATGCATCGCCGATGAGAATATGACCCCGGCACGTATAGCTCGGGCCTCGAAGTAAACTACATAGGCGTTGCGCGCGTCTCTCTCGACTTCGCCAGGCGAGTCGGTGGTCGTGCGAGTCGGTGTCGTCGGCACGATGCTTCGTGTGGCGTAGGTGATGGCGGTGCCTTGCCTTGGTGATGGTGGGAGTACCGCAAGGGTCAATCCACGGTCCACCATTATATTCCCTCGGCGAAGTCGTGGCACACGGGGGCCTCGGAGCGGGTTCACAGCCAAGACGACGACGACGACGACGACGACGACGACGACGACGACATTCGAACGCTTAATGGTCGGAATTTGTCTGGCCGGCAGGTACACTGACAGCTAGTCGGTAGAGTTAGTGACTTGGGTTGGCTCGGTTAGAGACCGAGATAGCTAGGATAGAAGAGGATCACATGCGAGGCAACGTCGATGTACAGAAACCAGAAATGTGGATCAGCTTCGCAAAACGCGATTCTCTCGCGTTACACAAAAATAAGTTAAAATCCGTATTAGATTGTAAAAACGGTATATGTAGCTAAACGGAAAGAACGATTTTGCTGAAATATTTAAAAATGTAATTAAATACAGATCTGAATATAATTTGGTTAATCATCAAAATATTTATGTAGAAAACTCAAGCATGAGCAATGTTGCACAAAATTTTAATATTCTAACTTGAGCATCTACATAATTATTTTCTTATTAATAGTCCAAAAAATTATTTTCTATTTAGCTAAATTTGTATTTAGCTAAATTTTTAGATACTTTAGCAAGTTTCCGTATAGATTGTTAACATAAAGCTATGCATTTAATATTTAATTTAATTCAAATTTACTGAGTGAATTCAATAAGTTAATTCAATAATAAGTTTTGTATGATAATGTCATTCATATGAATTGTTGCACTTAATTCCTAAGTATCGTAGGTGTCCATGTTCAGGCATTTTTCATTAAAAAAATTTTTTTCTTCCGAGATTTTATGCCGATATTGTTAAAACTTATCATGATTGTAATTTTAAGCGTTTCATGTTAGAAGAAGCAGCTAATCGTTAAGAAAGCGGTTAATCTATATCCATCATCTACACAGTTAAAATTCCTTAATCATCTAATTAGCGGAATTGTTAACGACCGAATGATCGGTAATTCGTGCATATGTGGTAGTGACTATGTATATGCACGAGTACCAAGCGGTCCACCGTCCTTTAAATACAACTTTGACCTTTAAGAGGGGTGGAATGTATCGTTTGCAAAAAAATCGCCACGAAGAAATGACTCTATCGTAATTAAACCATTGACGTTGGAGGTACCGTAAGGGTCAATCCACGGTCGAACATCATATTCTTCGGCTAGGAGCATGGCTTTAGGAGCGGGTTCGTATAACTGCAACACACAACGTTCGACGCTTAATGGTCGGAATTTGTCTGAATGGCAGGTAACACTGACAGGCACTCGGTTTAAACTCGGTGAGTGGAGGATATACCGGTTACAGAAACCCGCGGTATCCAGAAAGTTCTCCGGTAATTCAAGGCTCGCCCGGGTCGCCGATTAACGTATCGATCATTAGACGATGCCGATCGAGGCGACTTTTTCCCGCGACCCAGCTAGCTGCGATCACTTTAAAGTTCAAATTGAAGCCTACATAACGAGACAGAGACTTACCTTCTCTTCTCGTTTCTTTCATGTTTATGTCTTAGTAGAATATAGGACGGAAACAACCAATAATGTAGAAGTTTTAACGAAGTTTTTCACGTTTAGACACATTTATCAAACAGACAGATATATTCTCTATAGAAAAGATTTAAGTATTTGTATTTAAAAATGAAATGATTTTCTTCTATCAAATTTTAATTGTGAATTGGTTTTTATAGTCTTTAACTCCTTCAGACCTGATTTTAATGAAACCACGTTAAATATTTTTTTAAATTCAATTTACGAGCACTTTAATTTACTAAAAAATTCATTTTTTTTTTCAAAATTTTGATTATTTTTCCAACATTATTATGTACATCTGCAAGTCTTAGATGATGTCGATAGAATTAAATAACTTCAACAGATAATGTCTTCAAATTTTTTATACATTATAATGACACAGAGTCTAAAAAAAATATAAAATATAAAATTTCATCACTTTAAAGTTTTGGAATTAACTCTCGATCTCCAATCTGAGTCTTTTTTAGGCTAAGTAAAATTTCACTCTCAAATTTCTTCGCCAGTTTTCAATTTTTATTAAATAAACGTTTTAATATTTAAGTTAAAAAATTGAGGTAATAGGAAAAATATTCTCTTTCAGCTAAACGACTTTTTAATCAAGGTTACACATTTATATTTTTATATTTTTATATTGAATAATGCGTTTTATAACAATAACTTACGCAATTGACGATGTTAAATGACAATGTCTTAAGTCATCGTACAAACAGCGACAAGATTATCGAGCCTTAAAGATGGGAATTTATCCTAACAAGCAGATACATGAGTTATAAGTTAAGAAGTTAGAAAAATCATTGAAGGAAACTAACGAGACTTGTGCGTGGAATGGCCAAGTGGCTTACAATCCTTTTAAACCTTGTCATTTTCAGTTTCACTGATCATTAATTGGCTGTTGCCAATTGTCGAACGATGTTAACTGGTTCGACCGTTTTTCCTGACGAGAGAACGGCACGAATCGACAAATCGATTTGTGCCACGAAACCTATTACGTCTAATAGAACATGGGAACAAATTGCGCTTTCGCCGCTTTCAAAATAATATTGTCTTAAATGTCGAATCATCAATTTGCAAAATTCAGTACCTATTTCCAATATTGAAAATTCGGTTTTTAAAAATATTATAACATATTGAATTTAAGTAATATCTGTGAGAATGTTTATTTTATTTTTTTTTAAGAGCATTATACTCATTTTTTTTAAATTATTATAGAATTCGATTAATGTCTTTGATTTTTCTATTTAATTAATCCAACCTGAAAGAGATAGAGACTCAAGATTAAACATATATCTATATATTGTTTAATTTAACGGATTAATCGATTTCATTTTCATTGAAGAAATTGCCATTTATTTTTCTATCAGTCAAATCAAGTTATATAAGTATTGTGCCGTAAATAGACCGATTAGATCACAGGGGAAACGTCAAATACAAGGATCCCATGACAAATTTCATTCACGGCATCGAATCAGTCGGCGATTCTTCCGCCTGTCTGCAATCAGGAAAAGACGAGTTCCCGGACGAGCTATGTCTGTTGACCGATCGGCATAATCGGCGTGCCGGTTGTGTGCGATGCCTTTTTCGGCGAACTGTGAATGTAGCCTGAGGT